GGGGGGCGCCGTCCAACCTTCTCTCAACACTCCCTAAAACACTGTCATCATGTCTTCATATTATCAGCATCAACATATTCTACTAACTGTGTCCGACAAATAACCTTTCACAGTTCTATGTGTGATTAGTTCACAATTAAAGCTTTTTTGGCGAGATTTTAAGCTGGGCACTATGCTACTTGTACAGCACCCTGCCAACTGCTCAGATGTGTAAAAATTATACTTGATAGTTCTAGGAAGAAACAACACAATGCAGCCCAAATTGTAATGTTCAATTAGAAAAGTCCAGACAGAGATGTTTGGAAACAGAAACAAAATTCTGATATAAAAGGAAAAAGAATCTGATCCATTTTTTTGAACCGACAGCTCCTTTAGATCATAATTTTCCTCAATGGTCATTCTTCTGTTCCACCGTTATTCTGTCTGGGTCTATATCAACTGGAATCTCTTCAATCTTAACTCAAACATGTAGAAAAAAACAGATCATTTGCTATGTTAAATAATCAGGTTTCAGTTAAAACACTACGGTGGGCTTGCGAAGCTGCGCACATGTTAAATGTGTTGACTTTGGCCGCTCGATTAATATGTATCCAAACAGATAAGATCTTGATTCGTCTGGAAAGTCGTTTGAAACCCAACCGCAAACCGTGGGTCAGTCGTGTTAGAGAAAGCAAAGGGAAATAAGACTATTTTGTTCTGGGGTGATTTTGCTTGACCCCGTTGTCCGCAGACAGGGGTAAACACCTAATGGGAGTGTAAAAGTTTAATGTGCTTTCAAATGAATCACTTTCATTCACAATAGCAAGAAAGCACAAATCAAAGGGTACAAAGAGAAGTGTGGGGAAAAAGATTCAAATGGCAGCATTAGTAAATGCAATAAAACAACCGACAAGAAGCATGACAAAGACAGAAAAGAAAAAAAAATAATAAAAAAAAGTGCAAGCCAGGAAAAGTTAAAGCATGACCTCAAGGGACAGAATAGCAATTCAGACTCGGAGAGAAAACACAGCAGACCCTTTTTCTACATCCTTGGGTTTGTCACGACTGATACATCCATGATGCTGCCCTCCACCTTATGAGACAAAACTGAAAATATTTGTGTTAGTTTGACCGTATGAGTTGCAAATTACCAGAGGGGCATCCTGACAGTAGGAAAAGCTTGATTAATTAAACAGACAACCTTATGCACTCGCTCACACAGGCATGTGAATATACACCCCATTAATTACATGCACCAACAAAACTGTGATAGAATCCATATGCCGTGTTGCGTTCACAAACACACAGCCTGGTCTAATGCGGTGAACCTTGACCCTGTGCTACCTCTCAAAGATTTGTATGTGAAATATTTTATACACCTGGTCAACATTACTTGTCAGTATATCGATGAGAAGAGGTTAATGCAGCATTTCAACATTATAGAAAACTAAAACAAAAAAGGAATCTGAAACCCTCAAGCTATCTGTCATACAAATCTAATTGACTTTTTATTCACACTTTTATGAAACACTTAATTCATTGTTCGGGCCTCTATATCCTCTGTCCAGAATTTCTGGCAAACAAACACCAAATCTGACATTCGAATATCTAATATCATTTCAAGGTTTTTTCACTGTAAAGCTGACGTCTCACTGTGGTTTTGCCCTCGCTGTTCCCTTGAAAACAAGTGTTAACAATTCTTTGGTGAATAATATTAAGGAGGAATAAAATGTTCCAATAGAACACCAGCGCTGCAAATGAAGTGTCACAAAGATGAATTAATCCTAAACCGGTCCCGTCAGCTCTAGGGGTCTTTAGAGGGCCGGGTTGAGTGAGAGTCCCACAGCAGAACAGGATTTATAGGTTACAGTAAAGTGCTGTTGTGGATAAAGCACTGCTTGTGCATAGCCTCAAAATAGCATTGTTTTGAACTAGGCCTATTCCTTCTTTGTATTTTTACATTTCTGAAAACTTTTAAGTGAAAATCACTTTTTATATACCAAAGCTGTTACACTTACCAACCAATACGACAAGTCTGTGCCTGTCTCCGTGTTTTCTGCGGTAGGCGGTCACCTCTTCATAAGTGGGCACATCAGCTGTGTCGTACTGCTCACTTCTCTTACATTCATACATGGACTTATTGGTTTTCTTATCCCTTCTGCTGAGACGAAAACTCCTCCGAAGACCCGCTGGAGAGGAAGAGAGAAACAAATAAAGACAAGAACAACAAGCGTGTGTGCATTTGAGAATGAGTATATAGACATAGAAGTCTTAATGGATCTTAACACACTTCTACACTTACTCATTCTTTCTTAAGACATTCACAAGCCTTTCACCCTGCCTCCTGCACCTGTATTCAGTCTGACTTCAAACTTTTGAATGGTACTGTACAGTACATGCATATTCCTTAGCATCTTGAGCCACTTTTAAAGGTGCTATATTAATGTTTGTGGTATATTTGTTTTTCTTCTAAAATATATATTTTATAGTTATTTTTTGACTATGTTCTACATATCCTTCGTCCCCTATGTGTTCATTCATCCGATATTTTGGTGTATTGGTTACTCTTTCATCTGTCAAGTGCTTAGGTCTATTAGTTCCATATCACATTTTACTATATCTAAACCCATTCCACAGAAAAATCAGCAAGGAAATTACGAAAAACGTCCGCAGATTCTGTCTGGGCCCGATCATAACAAATTTTCCTGTGCGCCATCATCATATGAACCGACTTGTGGTTCTTTCATCCGCGTCCAGGTAACAAAACGACCAGACCGAAATATCCGAGGCGAATTTCATGGGGACACGGCAGGAGGTGGGCTATTTCAGGACATGGCCATAGCTATGGGTGGTTTTTTCATGCCCTAAAAGGTGGTAAATAACCTCACCATAAAACTTCCTGTCTGATTACTCTGGACAGCACCAGTCTGTCTTTAATGATCCCAGACTGTATCAAAACTCAAAATGTACCCCTCATTTAAGCAGCCCGGTTTTATATTCATGACAGATGCTAGTTAGTCTAGCACAGGCCCAAACCAGAGACACCTAATACCCCATCTCTGCACAAGGCATTTTCCCTTCCTGCCTCTACTGCGTTTTATTTTTTTAAACTGTGATTAATGAACGCAGGGATATGATGCAAGATGCCCAAGTAAGATTACGGCACTAAGAAAATTATGGACTGAGAAGGGGAATGAAAAAAAAAAAAAGCCCTGATCCAGTCCCCCTTTAATACTTTCCACAGCACCGAGAGACCGCGGAGCGCAGATGTGCGGCCGTGGACAGATCCTGCATTCTTTACAGCTTGTTCTTTTCCACACAGTCACCTAATAAGGGCTGGTGGGGACCTACGCTGGCATACAAATGAAACACACCGTAAGTCAAGCGCCCACTGTACCACAACACAAGTATTTGTGTAGTTCCACAGTGAGGATTTGGTTACAAGCTTTTAGGACAGAGCATTCTTCCACTCAGGCTAACCTGTGGTCTCTGCTGCTCGTGCCAAAAACTCAACCCTGACTGGAGCAAAAACATCAAGAACTGTAGGTATGAAGAAATATAGGTATGATTATCTGACAAATATCAACATCATTTGATGGGGAAAAGGTACCAGTTGCCAAATCATTCCTTTCGAGAGGATATGAGGGTGACCTTTAGTAAGCTGAAACACTGAGTGGCTTGTTCCATTCAATTTTCGTACCCTTCAGTTTCGATAGTTGATTGGCTCTGGCATCAGGAATCTCCATTTTCCCTAAACACAGAGCAGGTGCAAAGCTTTTATTACGGCTGTGCCTAGTCAATGCAAACTGCGGTTTACTGTCTGAAGAGGATTCGTAGTCGGGACCCTTCAAAATCACTTAAAACAGAACAGACGGCTCCATCCAAATTGCAGAAATATTACTTTCCATTTCAACGATGATAAATAAATCAAGGCTCAGAAAGCAAGCAACTCTACGCCCCCTCTTGAACCCCAATCCCCATAACTGATTGAGGCCGAATAATAATAATAAAAAACATTAAAATGATTCCATTCCAGTCCGAGCAGAAATGTTGGGCCTGCTTCTCCTTAATTCTCTCTTTTTCCAAAGAACGCAGCTTTGTGAGACAAATCTATATGTGGGGTGACAGAAGGCAGCTTGAGTATATTAGAAATGCTCAGCCAAAGACCTTCTGGTTCAGGGATGAAGACGAATAAAAAAAAAAAGAGAGAAAGCCAGTTAGCCAAGGACAGTCATAAAATTCCTTTAACTATATTCCATCTCTTGTAGGGGAAAAAGTGTCTTTCTGTGCACTCAGACAAACGGTTTACCAACTCCAGTTATCTCTCAGCATTCCCACAGATAAGCACGAACTGGCTGCCTGGATCCAGGGGAGAAGATGGATAACCATCACAGGCAACGATTAAAGAAACAAGTATTTAGTAGTGCTATTTGAAATATGTATTGGGCACTGCTTTGAATCATGTTGAACTCGTTAAGAGTGGCTGTCTAGGGGAAACAGTGTAGGAGTGGATTCCATTGTGGAAAGTCGTGTTCTGCCCAAGTGTTACAGGCTTGCACTGAATACAGACTCTTCGTTCCTGTTGGACGGAGGAGAGTAGACTTGAATCAAGGAGTGATATTTTTTTTCTCTGCCCTATCCAAAATTCCAGATTTAGAGAAAGGATTAACATGTCTTTGATCCACTCTATATATACATATACATACACATATACACACACACACATATACACACACACACACACACACACACACACACACACACACACACACACAGACTAAAAAGCTGTGTATATGTGTATGCAGTTAAAGGGATAGTTCACCCAAAAGTCATTTATTACTCACCATGTCGTTCCAAACCTGTAAGACCTTCGTTCATCTTCAGAACATAAATTAAGAAATTTTTTATGAAATCCGAGAGCTTTCTGACCCACCATAGAAGGCAAAGGAACTACCATGTTCAAGGCCCAGAAAGGCAGTAAGGATATTGTTAAAATAGTCCATGTGACATCAGTGGTTCAACCTTAATTTAATAAAGCTACGAGAATACTTTTTGTGCAGAAAGAAAACAAAAATAATGACTTAATTCAACAATTTCTTCTCTTCCGGGTCAGTCTTTGACACACGTTCATGAGAGTACCACAACGTATGCTGTAGTTCCGTTGCAGTCTATGGAGGATCAGAAAGGTCTCGGATTACATCAAAAATATCTTAAAGGGGTCATATGATGCGATTTCAAGTTTTCCTTTCTTTTTGGAGTGTTACAAGCTGATTGTGCATAGATAAGATCCCTGAAGTTGCAAAGACTAAAATCTCAAAACCAAAGAGATATTCTTTATCAAAGTTAAGACTCTGCCACGCCCCCCTAAAACGGCTCGTTCTAACATGCCCCCACATATCTACCTCACTATGTGGAAATATTAGCATAATGCGGCCCAAATGTGCACGCAAAGAAAGAAGGCATGGTTTCAGTAACCGCAGTTAGTGTTGAAGCAGCCATGTCAGGGAGATGCTGTGTGTTTCTAGGCGAAAGCAAAAGCACTTTATTTAGCCTTCCGAAAGTAGATGCATTTAGGAATCTTTAAGATTACTTACAACAGAACAGCAATGCATTTTATGGATGACCGTTTCGTGAACCTAAGAGAGGAGGTAATTCTGACTTTGCTATGACAATCTGGCACTTCTGAATCAGCTACGGTTTGTTACGGTTCAAATGCGGAGTTTTGCGCATCGCACGTGTGAGAGAGGGAGTCTTAACCGTGGCTTGTGTACTGCAAACGCATACCAGCTTCATCTGTGTCTGTCACGCGACTCTGTTCCCCTTTCGGGCTCTGTCTTTACATTTATTTCGAATAATTAACGACTTTTGGGTGAACTATCCCTTTAAGAACCGATCAAATGTATATCTTAACTGTAATGCAATGTGCTTCAGATAAATGCATTTATGCAACCTTTTTTTGTACATAAGAAAATGTAATTATAGTAATTTATTTAAAGACAGAGCCACAATTTGCTCAGTGAACCACTGTTTAATGAAAAAGAAAAACAAAAGCTATCATCCATCTATCCATCCATTCATACCAGACTGAATATATATATACATTATTATTATTATTATATACAGTGCATTACATAAATATAAATAGCTAAAAGTATAAAGTAAATGTACGTATATAACCACAAACATATTTAAATATTTAATGTATAGAATTTTGAAATAGAATACATTTATTATTATTATTATTATTATTATTAAATACACAAAAATCTAACTTTTGTGAGAGGTGCATGTATACAATTCTTAAGTTTAGATTTCTTATGGGAGTGAGATAACTTAATCTCCATTTGTGAAACAGGAAAAAACTCATCTAGTACAGTTTGTTCTTATAAGGACAATGTCTCGATATATGAACTACAAAAGCATGGGAACACTGCTTGATGCATCAATGAAGACACATATACACAGTCTAACTCACAGACAAACAGAGTGGGCTGCTAGGTCAAGCCGGTGCAGTCATCACTAGCTGGTTTAGTAAGTATCTGAACTACAAATCCAATAGGCTACAGTTCTGCTGTTAGTCTCATCAATCACCTGTTCCTTCCATCAGAGATACGAAACACCCACACGCAAACATCATCAACAGACACCAAACCTATTCACTGAACCACTGCAAAGTCTGGCCATTCCTGACCCCCACAGACGGACGGCCAAAAACTGAGTAAAGGACATTGAGACCATAATCATCCACTACTGGCTACAAATCAGACGAACAGATGCCCATTTGCTCTCCATGTCCATAGCTAATTCAAATCTGGTCTACCATACATACAAAATTAGAGACACTGCCAAACGACCCCTCCAAATTAAAATCCCAGTGACTTCAGTCGATTATACTAAAGTGTATCCACCTGAGCCGAGGTCAGTGTGGGGAAAAGCGTGGTAATCGAAAGCTGCACACAGCTACAGGCCTCGAGGCTTCTGGCCCCGGTGCTCCTCCTCCAGGAGTGAACCTGTGGACAGATGAGATAAACTAATTTTGGAAATGGAGCGTTTTTTATTTCAGTCTAAAACACGTCTCCATTTTTCCATAACTCCTGCCTTAATTGGATTCCAGAGGCTAATGGCTTTCCCAGCTTTAGCTTCTCCCCCCAAATGTTTTCATTTTTTTGTTCTTTCTTCTGACTCCTGTTGACTTTCTTCCCTGTTTCTACTTCTCCAAAATTGTGGTCGCCCTCAACCTGCAGAGAGGTCATTAGGATTAGCCGATAACTGCAAACCTCATACCACCATGTGTCTTCACATCATACCACATCACATACTTTATGCAAAAATGGTTCGGAATGGTTTCGGAAATGTTTGATATTTTGAATTGATTTTAAAAATATCTTGCTTTCATCTGTTATGTGTTTGAAGCAACTTGAAAATTTGTTAGTATGTAATTCTCAGTCATTTAATGTATGATGCCCTATTTTACACTGTAACCATTTTAACACCCATCAATTGTATGGTATAGTGTATTGTACTTTATTTAGCACATTTTGGAAATCTTATTCACATAAATACTGTATGTTTCAAAATGTAATTTCTACCTGCGATGGATCAGCAGCCATTACAGCCATTATCAGTGTCACATGACCCTTCAGAAATTATTCTACAGTAATATGTTGATTTGATGCTCATTAAAAAAAACTAATTAATTACTTAAAAAATGCTACTGACCCCAAACTTTTACATGGTAGTGTACATGGATGGAAACCCAGCTATTACAGTTGTTAAATGTTAGTTCCGTCTACCCTCCATCTTCAAAGCAACTTTTCTGTCATTTCACACACATACATACACAAACACATGTGCACTGTTTCAGCTGAAAACCGTACTGCTGATGTACATGAATGGATGGCATACTTGGGATTAAGACTAATGCTCATTGTACGCCTGACACTCCTTCATCCTAGTGACACAGGGGGAACAGAACTAGCAATGCATCCTTGTTATACAGTCTTACATCAATACAATTACAGGTTCAAATCATAACAGCGAATTAGACCGTAGGCTTTAAAGAGGTCAATGTTTTCCCCTTCGACATAAAAAAATATATATATAAAAACACTAATAAAAACTTACCCTTAACTTTTGAACAGCAAAGTAGCTATACAAATAAACATTTAAATTCATATTATACTGACAGATTCATTGAAATTGAAGAACAAAATAACTGATTTGCACAAATTGGTGAATAGGAAATGGAAAACCTGGAGTAGATCTAGAATGGAGTGATTACAGAACACTGAGGGGAAATTGCCGTGAACTGAAACTGAAGACTCTTGCAAATGATAAATGATTTTTGTACTATTTGAGACATTTAATACTTAAAGGATCCACTGAAACATTGTACTTTTTGCGGCCACTGAACAGAGCTGTCCCAGACGGGCATACTGTACAACAGAGTACATGAGTCTGTGCGGTGACAGATAATGAGAGCGCTACAGCACACTCATTTTCCACACACTGACGCTAGAGATAGAAACCAGACTAAGGCCTGACTGAGAGCTGGCCTTCAAACAGTCCAATGTCCAACACACACCACATCAAGAGCCTGCCGGACCTCCACCACAAAGCCTGGAAATTAACCAGTGTCTTTAACTGCAATATGTTTAACATTCACAAAGAGCTATTTAACCTAAAAACACAGCCAACACACAGGAAAATCAGAAAGTACAGCTGCTCAGGGCGATTGTATGAGAAACTAGTGCACATTTGCCTCGATTTTTATTTTTTTACCACAGGACTGTAGAGATTACTTCGATTTCACTGATATCAGATATTTCAGTTTGATTTTCCGCTTTGCATTGCGAACGAGACTTAACAACACTCAGAAATTGCTACTAACAATAACAAAGTCAATCTTAGATAAAACATACAAAGCACATGGTAATGACCGTGGCAACTACTGCAGGAAAAAAAAATACAGACTGAAAACGCAGACTGCTACCACTTATAAACGATGAGATATGTGAAGCCAGAAGGAAGCTAGACAATGATACTATAGGACATGCAACAGCGTGCAGCCACATGTCAAAAAAGATTTTTGTTCGCAGACACACACAGAGAAGGAGAGCGAGAGGGAGGAGATTGAGAGCTAACAGCTAATGAAACTGTTAGGAGAGAATGACAGAACGGGATTTACAAACTCTTCATCATTAACATGAATCAGACAGAAGAGAGAGGAATGATATGGGACAGAGGACAAACACATAATCAAGCATAATCAAAAAGAGCTCACCAATATGGAGTCCACTTAAATAGGAGGCAAACTCAGTGTCCTCTTCAAATTATGAAAGGCAGAAGGAATCAGGACAGATTTATATTAGAGAGAAGTTAGGAACACTACTACATACTGAAAGATGAGCAAAACAAAAGATTGTCAATTTGAGTTATAGGTATAAAAATAAAACGCACAATGACCACAGTAACATTTAAAGGTTTGGGATCAGTATGATTTAAAAAAAAAAAAAAATTATCACATTTATTCAGCCAGGAGGATGCATTAAATGGATCAAAAGTGACCTTAAAGACTTTAACACTGTTAAATAAAAAATATTCTGTTCATCAATGAATCCTGGGAAAAACTGCCACTCTCAGAAAAAAGGTACAAAATCTTTCAAAATGTACTAATTTGTATCATAATAAGGTACTAATATGCAGCCTTTAGGTACTAATATGTACCTTTAAGATACTTAAGGTGTACCTTTGAAAAAGTACCACTCCAGTGACAGCTTTCATATATCTGTTTTTCCTGAGAGTGTGGTTTCCAAAAATGATTAATCAGCACAACTGTTTTCAGCACTGATACTAATCAGAAATGTTAGAAATCAGCATTTCTGAATGATCATGTGACAGTGATGACTGGAATAATGGCTGCTAAAAATTCAGCTTTGCCATCAGGAACAAAAGAGATTTTAAAATACATTAAAATAGAAAACAGTTATATTTGTAATCATAATGAAATTGTTTTACAGTATATTTTTGAACAAACAAATGCAGCTTCAATGAGCATAAGATACTTTTTTCAAAAACATTATCGACCCCAAACTTTTGAACCATTGTGTATTTTACAGACAAACACAACTATCATATTTCTTAATCAACTGATCCTCTACAGCCGAACCAGGTGGATGGATCTATTGGCAGTGCTCAGATTCAACATTCATAACTTTCCATGTGGGCCATAAACTTCAAATTTCTTTTGTCTATTAGACACAACTCATAATGCATTCAATACATATCTTACAGATGGGATGAAATAAGTTATTCAAAACAGCTTTTGCATCTTACACAACAATAAGACTATGAAATACTGAGGGAAACATTCACGTTCAAACTCACATTCACACGGTCTATCATGAAGAAAAACTAAAATGTATGGGATTCCTCTGAACACTCATACTAATATCATTTAAAGGGTAAGGCATAGTTGGAAAGGCAAAAAGGGATGTATTGTGTGCCTGTGAGTGCATGTCTTTGTGTATGAGAGAGATACAGTATAGTGAACTCTTGGCCCCTTTACACACCCTGCTACGCTCCATTAGGTGGTTGTGGTCCAATGAATGCTAATCAACCATGTCTTCATTGTTTGGGTACTCTGTTACCACATACAGGGGTCCCCAGCCAATGATCTAATTTCTATGACATCTAATAGGTGAATCAGAGTTAGTCTGAAAGGTGTACCTTCAATGTCCTCCACTGGGAAAGCAAAGAAAGGAATATGATAAACATAAAAAAAGATTAAAATCAGATCAAGAGAGGGATGAGGAGAGCAAAAGAATGGAGGAAGAAGAAACTGACCTACCCCATTCAACCATGTCATCATCTTATGAAGGAAAAAATAAACAAAAAGAAAAGATATAGTCATGTGACTGGAAGTAAACATGATATTTGAAACGCACTGAAATTCACAAATTTAAAGGGACAGTTCAACAAAACCTATTTTACTGTCGTTTACGGTTTTAATGAAAGTCAGTGGGATTCAGTGTGGTTTTAACCCCAATGTTCTTCAAAAAGTATTCTTTTTCACAAAAGAAAGTGAGTCATACAGGTTTGGAACAACATGAGGGTGACGAATTGATCACAGTTTTCAATTTTGGGTGAACTATCCCTTTAAATGTCAAAAAAATGTAAAATTGTATGTTTATTTTCTATGAAAAGTCTTTAGTATGCTACTAAGTGGTAAACCATCGCTTACCTCATAGGAAACTAACTACCGAACAACTCACATTCATACAACTAACAGTTCATAACGGCAGAGAAAGTGTTTTTGAGTGTGCATGTGCAGGCCTGAAGACATGAGAACATTTGGAGTCACTTTAAAAGCTTCCTCCAGTTCATGTGGTCTCAATTCTACTAAACAAGCTTAAATCAAAACACACACGAGCAAAGGGCAGCATCTACACAGCCTGCCATACACATCCACACAGTCCTGCCAAAAAAGCAATACCATGAAGAGAAAGATGGAAGGCAGTAAAATATTTTGTGTGCTATCAGTCAAGTGAATCCTTAGGCATCTGCCTTCTTGTCGGTGTGACCCAAAGGACCAAAAAGACAAAAGAAATAAAAAAAAGAAAAGAAAAGAAAAGCAGATCTAAGGGCATGTTTAAAGTCTGAGACAAGAAGTGAGGCCACTAAGCTTAGGATAAGAAAAAATATACAAAGGAAATGAGTATGATTTACAGGTGAAAATGGATAACCGTCACGTCTGTCATAATTACTGACAGTGGATTTCAGAGAAACTAAATCAGAAAAGAACTTCACTTTTCAGTAAAACGTGTCCCCAGAATCCATTTTTGGACTTGCATGGTACCATAAAAGATATACTAAATTGGACCGAGCAAATATGAAAACAAGATTATTGAAATTATACACCATTATACATGACACAATAATTCCAAAAAGATAACAGATGCCTTTTGCCTACAACAATTTATAAATTAATCTAGAATAGATGATTAATACAAATAAGTGGGGATGGTGAGTGTAGATTAAAGGGTTGCTTAACTGTTTCCATATCTACAATGATTACAGAACAACTGGAATGACAGTATATCTGATCAAACAAACAAAGGGCAAAAACAAGAGTGTGTGCAGAGGCAGGATAGGCCTACCAACTCACTATGTTTACATACACAGATTTAAATCAATCCCACTGTAGATTCCACATGTACTGTTTATATGCGCCCCATGTAAATATATCAGTTGACATGAGCATATATCCTGAAGAAAATTGTTCTACGTGCAATGTGTCAACACTACAATAACAAGAAGCTTGTGATCAGTGTTCCTGAAGACGTTAAGGTTACTAACTGATATTAGGTTGCATGAGGATTATTAACTGAAATTAGGTTGCATGTAAAAGCAGCTAGTCTAACCAACAGACACAATTTTTTCAAAGATGCAAGAGGAAGAGAGAAATGTTAATCATAAGAGAAAAAAATAGATTACGATAAGATAAGATGTATTAAGAGGAATCCACTAGTAAACAATATACAGACATTAACTGACTAAAGGTCTATAGAAACCACATACTAATACTATAGGGTTGGTAACTAGAAGGTTGCAAATTTGACATTTCTGTGTAAAAGGGATTATTAAACAACAACAAAAAACACACATATATACACACATATATATATATATATATATATATATACACACATACACACACACATATATATACACATATACACATACATACACATATACACATATATACACATACATACATATATATACATATACACACACACACACACACACACACATATACACACACACACACACACACATATACAGTCACACACACACACACATATATATACACACACGCACACACACACGCGCACACACACGCGCACACACACGCGCACACACACGCGCACACACACACACACACGCACACACACGCACACATATATACACACACACACACATATACACACACACATATACACACACACACACATATACACACACACACATACTGTATATATATAAAACAATTCTTGCTACGTGTATTGCGTTAGACTAAACGAGACTTGCTGGTTTTGATTGCTTCTATTGTCCTCATTTGCAAGTCGTTGTGGATAAAAGCGTCAGCTAGGTGTCTAAATATAATGTAAATGCAAAGATCATTTACATTTGGCAAGGCAAGGCAAGTTTATTTGTATAGCACATTTCATACACAATGGTAATTCAAAGTGCTTGTGCTCCTTCCTTGTAAGGACTGAACCAGCAACCTTCTAGTTACTATTCCTTAACATTAAACTACATCAGACAAACCTATATGTGCACATGATTCAACTACAGTATAGTGTAAGGTACTGTGTTGCCAGCCCTTTTAACCCCTTATTTGAGCAATTCATGAGCATCTACTGGATAATTACTATTTTTTTTGAATCCCTAAAAAATACTTTTGCCAACAAAATACTTTTGAACTATAAACAACTGTGAAAAACATACTGGTAAATCCATTATTTTTAAGATTAATTTGAAAACCATGATTTGTAAATGATTTAACAATTTTCTATGATAGTGGAAACACACAGTTTTACTTTCTGTACCTGTCCAGGGGTGTGTGGTTTGTAATGGATATGAAATACAGCCTCAGCTAGTGATCATACTGTTCTGATAATAAGGCTTTATGTGAGTGCACATATCTGCAGTGCAAAGCACTAGCGTGTGTTCAGTCATCCAAAAAGAGCCCCTCATCTCTGCTCTTTGAAATATGGGCTAACGTCACCGCACTGCAGGCCAGCGGACAGATGGTCTTACTCTTAAAGCACACGCTCACACGGTTTCAAACAAACAAACCTCTTTCTTCCAAGCACACTTATACGCATCTATACCTGTGTGAGAACACATTTGGATTGGTATTGTATATGGTCTGATTCTGGTCAAGTCATACATGGAGCTTTCAGTTTTTCTTACAAATTCCCATACGTGACGTGATTCTGAAAATTCTACACTTGAAAAGTTGAATAAAAGCAGCACGTTAATATTACTTATGCTTATTTGTTATAAAGAGTCTACAAAAACGACAGCAGTTTCATGACTCCTGGGGTGGTCCTGGAAAACTCATCAAGAACCGATACCTCAGTGACATGCACATCAACTTTTCCTTCTCATTGTTTTAAGCAGCTGATAGAGTAACGGACAAAAATGGAAGAGGTGGGAGGCCGAGCATGTGGCATGGGGACAAGAATCCAGAATGGCTGTATTATTCAATCAAGTGTATTTGGAGCTGTACGGATGACGGCAACATGTCGAGAGTGTTGCTGTGCGTCTGTCTCGTGGTGAGTCTTAAGTATGCCCATGTGTAGAGAGTAACCCAGCACAGCTCCGTAAAGACCCCTGCTGTCAGCCAGTGGGAGATTAGAGCTGTAGTGTACAAATACACACACACACGCATGCAATAATAAGACATGAGAGATTTATGGAAACAAGGAGAGGAAGCTTATGTCCAGGCGTGCATTAACACACATGTACATGAATACATATGTGTGCACATATCTGCCTGGCACCAATCAGGGGAGTCTGGGCTCCCTGACCGCATTCACTTCACCTTGTACTTCCCAACCTTTCCTCACTCTCATTTAATCTTTTCCGGTTGCTGTTCTTACTATTTTTCTTTTTTTTCCTAGCCATTGCTTTACACGTCATAGCATCTGCAATACATGGGCCTCTTGCATATGACAGTTTAAAGATCATTACTGCAGTACTCCAGGAACAAAAGGATGAGAATATACAGGGCTCAACAATAAGGTGGCTTGCAGGCCTGATGTCAGTGAGAAAGTTTTTCAGGCTATTGCTGCATTACCAACGAAAATTTCACATTCAGTGACCTTATACATCAATGTTTTACAGCAGTGGTTCTCAACCTTTTTGATTCAAAGGCCACACGCTATCCAACATATTCAACATATTCAACACGCCTCCTTCCCTCTCCCCATTTAGGCTATGATATTTCCAGTATTTCTACTGTAATTATGACAAAGCTGTTTTTTTTCAACTTTTTAATGAACAGAAACAGAGTAAACTGAGTAATTTAGGGTGGAATTTTTTTTCCAAATATTTTATATTTCAAATATATATACTAATAAGAATATATACATACATATATACATACACTACTACGAATTTATTAATTTAAAATGCTTTAAGCTTTGAAGTCATCCTTCGGCCCCGGACCACTGGTTGAATGAGAACCACTGTTTCTGTGATTTTATCAACACTGTTTTTGCAAATTATAATGATTTGTCTCCAAAATAACGTCTAGCCATGGGTAAGATTTTGTCAAAAAAGCTAAAATGATTTGTAACCATCTTGAAAGTACCAGTAAACATGTTGAAAACAACAAACCGATCAGTAATGTTTTGCATCATATGCTATCATTTTCTAGCAAAAGTGTTTATGAAGGTTGCATAACATTTTAACAAGCACTACAAGTTTAAAAGAGAAATACACACACATACATATATATATATATATATATATATATATACACACCGTGTGTACGGAAAGTATTCAGACCCCCTTAAATTTTTCACTCTTTGTTATATTGCAGCCATTTGCTAAAATCATTTAAGTTAATTTTTTTTTCCTCATTAATGTACACACAGCACCCCATATTGACAGAAAAACACAGAATTGTTGACATTTTTGCAGATTTATTAAAAAAGAAAAACTGAAATATCACATGGTCCTAAGTATTCAGACCCTTTGCTCAGTATTTAGTAGAAGAACCCTTTTGATCTAATACAGCCATGAGTCTTTTTGGGAAAGATGCAACAAGTTTTGCAAATTTAAGGGGGTCTGAATACTTTCCGTACCCACTGTATATATATATAAACTGTTAATAATAAAAATCAAGTATTATTTTCATAGTGGGGCTGTAGTTCATAGTACTTATTTTCATAGTAGCCTGACTGGACTATCAGTAGCACGAAAAAAAAAAATCTTATTGTTGAGCCCTGCTGTGTATGAGCGTGTTTCAGTGGTTATTTTAGTTGCTGCGCGATTGTATGAGTGTGGTCCTTACAAAATCTTTTGCTGGGGGTTCTCTGAAGAGTCGTGACGGTCATGGGTCTCCAGGATGCCAACCTCCTGAAAGAATTGAGAGAGAAAGATAAAAAGCTAGAGGCAAATAAATCTACACTCACCAAGTCAGTGTTTGGAACTGACAAATGTATTTAGCTGATACGAGTGAGAAGCAATTTCATCCATCAAATCTGAATCAACCGACGACAAAAATGTAAGGGAGTCAGTTTGACCATCTAATACTTTTCTCACACTCTTTTATAACCAAAATGTGCAAACGTAACTTAATTAGAAATTTAGTCCTCGGAACCAGACTGACAAACCTATTCTGTTGCCGTGACTGTACCCATGCAGAGACATGCAATAAAACCATCACATTTCACGACCGTATGGGGATTACTAAACACTTCACCACAATGCAGAGCTACCTGCCTAAGTATCCATTAGTGAGTGAGTGTGTGAGCAAGAGAAAGAATGGTCAGCCAGAAACAGCACTTGCTACTGTACATGACAGGTTCAAAAATATGTTTTACAATTGAAAGTTACTTTTTTTCAAGAGAAATAGAGCAAAGAAACTATTATCTAAGGCAGCACACATGTGCATGCACGTCAGAGTCCACTTTACAAAGAACGCCACTGATGTGCAATTTTCCGTGTGTGGACGTCCAAAGTGGATGTGAACCAGTGCTATCACTGTCTGTCATTACTCATTCCAGCCCAGACAGCCACGGAAATCCAAAGTATTTTGGCCGAGCCCTCTTGCACAAAAAGGGAAAAAAAATGACAAGGAAGACAAAAAACTCAGAAAAGTCATTCCTTTCATAGTAGGGAGTGAAAGTCAGGTTGTAGTGGAGTGGAAGAAGTCTGGAATGATCGAGAGACAGAGAGATGGATGCATGACAGGAGAATATGATATATGAGGGGGCTGGGCAGAGGGCGGACAGGATGATGGAGTCATGGAGTGCTGTTGAATTTAAAACTGATGATAGTGGGAAGAAAGGAGCAGGGAAGAGAGAAAAGCATTGGCTAACCTCTCCTGAAAGTGTTTGGATGGGATGAGTCCTGCGCGCTGGTTGCCATCACCCTCCAGTTTGGCTTGCCACCAGGTGGCATCGTCCTGGCTCATAACCTGCAGGATATCTCCCTTCCTGAATGCCAAGCCTGCCTCCTTGCAAGGGATCGCCTTATCCTCAGCTGGATTGTAGTCAAAAAGCGCCTTTACAAACATCTGAAGAGCACGAGAGAGAGAAACAGCTTTAAAATGAACAACATTAAATGGATTAAAATGAAATTAGAGAAGGTTGAGATTCAAATCACATCTGCTCCGTCCTCTCTCTAAACCATGACCAAATAAAGGTGTATTTTGGGTAGCAGGCAGGCTTACTTTCCACACATACACACTGCAATGCAACAATTGGAAATTCTGTGCGATTCTCATTAGCGTTTTTTCTCTAACAAAGAAGATCATGAGGTTTTTAAAGGATTGGAGTGATTGTGCTGACATATCAAATGAATAAATAAGACAAATATGAAGGGCTATTGAGAACAAACGGAGACAGCAAAGTTCCCAAAGCGCAGAGCAGTGGCTTGTGTTGATTAAGAGAGCTGCATGTGCCATACAGAAAAATGATGTTACAGAGGAGAACGTTCCCCACAAACACACCAATACATCCTGAGGGAACGCTTCATCTCTGTCTAGCACTCAATCATTTTATTTTTTTTTATCCCTCTTACACATGTGCAGCCAATTAGCAGCACTTCAACATACTCATTACACGTGCGGAAAACAGTAAACTACGGTCACTGGATAACACACACACACACACACGGGTTATGACTAAATTCAAAACTGAAACATATTTAAACCATTACAGCACAGTAAAAGAATATAACAGACTCGCATAGAAATGGTACAGTCCTCAATTACGACACAACACTCAAAAGAGATGACTGTTTTTGCTTTATTGGTGATTAAATAAATTCAGCCATATAAACATTTAAAAAAATAAAATCTTACACACTCTAAACGTTTGAATGGTAGTGCATCTAAAGGCTGTGTCTTAAAACACTGACATGTCCACTTAGGGAACATTTTAAGGCATGTTCATGATGTAAATTTACAGTGGGTACAGAAAGTATTCAGACCCCCTTAAATTGTTCACTCTTTGTTATAGTGCAGCCATTTGCTAAAATCATTTAAGTTAATTTTTTTTCCTCAATGTACACACAGCACCCCATATTGACAGAAAAACACAGAATTGTTGACATTTTTGCAGATTTATTAAAAAAGAAAAACTGAAATATCACATGGTCCTAAGTATTCAGACCCTTTGCTCAGTATTTAGTAGAAGCACCCTTTTGATCTAATACAGCCATGAGTCTTTTTGGGAAAGATGCAACAAGTTTTTCACACCTGGACTTGGGGATCCTCTGCCATTCCTCCTTGCAGAGCCTCTCCAGTTCTGGCAGGTTGGATGGTAAACGTTGATGGACAGCCATTTTTAGGTCTCTCCAGAAATGCACAATTGGGTTTAAGTTAGGGCTCTGGCTGGGCCATTCAAGAACAGTCACAGAGTTGTTCTGAAGCCACTCCTTCGTTATTTTAGCTGTGTGCTTAGGGTCATTGTCTTGTTGGAAGGTAAACCTTCAGCCCAGTCTGAGGCGGGTTTGCACGCTTCGGATGAACGCACGTACAAATCTTCTCACTGCACGCGTGAGCTCGCATCCTCTGGCTGAGACTGGCTCTTAAATGTTTAAACTGGCAAAGCTTAAATGAGTTTAGCTTTTATATCAACGTGTGCAGTTCAGGTCTCACCTGTGCGCACGCGCTATCAGCACCCGGGTGATGACTGAATAAATGCTCATATTCCAGCATACGGCAGTCGCATTGAACCAGAGTGAATGGTTTGTCCAAGGTTTTTTTTTTTCTCTCATCGCTGTTGTAATGTATTGGGAAGCCAGAATGCGCATCCATCAACAGAAACATATATTAGCCAAACCCTGTTTGTTTGTTATTTATAGCAAACCATATTACAGATGCGTTGTCAGATTTAGGTTGAACTGCGGTCCTTGCGAGTGCCGAACCGGGTGTGGAGAACCATACGGTTCGATTTTTTTCCAAAAAATGTTCCACCCCTAGTTCTGACTCAAGTTTCTAGCAGGCTTCACATGAAGAGTGCTATTTGTGTGATGTGAATGAGTGACTATTAAGAGTAGCTATGCAGCATATACAGCATTTCAAATCAGTCATTATTGAGGTTTCATGTAGACAGCATGCTGTGAGTCAACTCTCTTGGTTTAGGAACAGATCGACAGAGAATGTTTGTAAGCTGGATGGGAGCTGAGAGGCTGACATCATTTAAAAATAATTTGTGTTGAAGATGAATGGGAACAAAAGCTTATCCATCAAAGCAGCAGCCCGTGGTACTTGTACAGGGAAAAACTCCCCCACTGTTTGAGTAAAACATCACATATAGGCCAACTCTTTTTCTGTTCATCATGTCTGATCAGCAATAGTGAGGATGAATTGTACCTTGGGCTCTTTGCTTTGCGCCTCCTCTTTGATGCCTGGGACCACTTTGAATGTGATGGCACCTTGCGACTGGGACTATAAACAGTCAAAAAAAGACAACATATCAACAATCTTTTAAGCATATAAAAAAAAGACAAAATTAATACACCAGTGCACATTATTCATTTCATTTTATATCTTATTTTTTCATTTTAAAACTTCCACTAGCTCTTTTTTTAAATGTCTGTTGAAATAGCCAGTGGGGAATTTAACCACTTTCAATATTAACTTCATAGCCTATGTGTTTCATGCAGTACATTAACAGTCCAAACATTTCCCTTTGGATAAAATCCCTTTTTCACAGGATTCTGTTCTATTACAGAAGTTAAACAACTGTTTCATGTTGTTTCATGTTGAATCTCCACATACACATACCAGGATGCTAATTATTTCCTCAGGCTTTTTGTCATCTACCGGGAAAGGAGCAGTATAAGTAGGTGAAATGGGACACAGCAAGTTACTTGTTTCATTCCTGAATGCATCTGTGAAATTAATGATTCACAGATGAAGAGCGTTAATCATTTAATTCCTGAATGAATCCCTTTTTGAAAAACGTATTAAAATTTCTCACTGATGAAGTCAGTCACTTATTTCGTTCAGTGACTCATTTCATAATAGGCAATTGCCACCACCTACTGGCATAAATATGTATAAAGACCCACTGACTTTCTGTGCGTTTGTGTATAGGAAAGTAAGTACTCGGAGACTGGAGTATGGCTAGATACACACAACTACTTAATGGCTTTAAATGGACTGCTATGACTGCCAAAAACACAAGCAGGAATGCAAAAGCACAATCTATCCATGGCACTGGTCTGCCAACAATATGCCAGCTCTGTGTGCCATCCTGCCGCCATACATACTCATGCGCTACTGTAACAGAGACACATGTGGTCAGACGCTGTCACCACACACACACACACACACGCAGCAAAATTAGACAGCGAGACTAAGACGGCAAGACTCCTAGCAGGGTGCATGGCTATTCACACACAAACATGTCAGACAGTTTGAGCTTCAGTCTGCCTTCTTTCACCCTCTGTTATCTGCATCAGTGTCTCGAAGGCTGTTATCATTTCTGAAGCATCCGTGACAGTGGATTAAGGTGCGGAGCGTTTCCTCCAGTGTGCATGTTTGTTTAAAACCTATTGCCGTTTTTACCTCACCTCATTTCAGGTGTCTAAAAGCGGTGAAAAAAAAAAACGACCTTGACAAACTTGTTCCATTGGCACATCAATAGGATTTTTAAAACTCTAGAAAAATTTTTTTTTGGATTATTTGATGACTTGGTCACCTGTAATGATTTTGCGATGTCATCGTCACGACTAATACATATAGCTCAAGGTCCTCCTCTGATGTGCTAAACACAGCTTTTAAGATGGAAAGAGCAGCCGTTTGTCGTCCCTCCCTTTAGAAGTCTTTGAATATTTCCTGTTGATCAAATAATTGGAACAATTTGGTGACCTGGGAGGACAAGGCAGCGATTGGCCCGGAGCTTTGGGAGGTGACAGAAACCAGTGATCAGCTTAGCTGTTACATCTCAATGTGAGATAAAACAGTGGTGTTTATGACACACATGAGGGAGATTGAGAGAGAAAGGGAGTAAAGAAAGAGAATTGGACCACAGATATACCATTTAATTTGGTAAAATGTGATAAAGTGAACAGTAGAATCAGTCCAAAAACTTTCCTTTTTATTCAAAACATTAATAATTTCAAACAAAACTAATCACTGAACTGAAGGTACAGTAGTCTATTTAATCGAGTGTGGAAGGAGTTTTTTTCCAGTGTGTTGGAACAGATCATCATTCACTCAACAAGGTTATTATTCATATCAATACATCATTACACACTCAACACTCTCTGGCTCATTGTGCAAGGCAAAGACTTTTTAGATATACATAATGCTTTCATAAAAGATAAAGGCAAAACAAAAACCAAGACAAAGATTTCGGTCACATCCAATTAGAAAAGATATTTCTAATATTATTCTAATGAATCTTACCCGTAATGTCTAACATCATTCTGCAATGCTAACACACTGATCAGAAGCCAGATACACAGCTTCTACAAACCTCTTGAGGCCTGGCTTAGAACTGCCCACAGATGGAAGGGCTCTAAGCAAACTAAAGTGATGTGCATTAAAGCAAATAAAATCTTTTTTGTCATTTACCCATGCAAATGACTGAAGTCCATTTTTTCTCTCTCTCTCTTGGTGTGAGAGCATGAGCTGATATTATTCAGGTGCAAGTTTGTCCTCTCTGCCTCAGTCATAACTGACTTCCTCCAAATCGCACATGCTGCTGAGAGAGCCATGCTACACTCGGCTGACTAACCAAACTCATCACGCAGGCATGATTTACCCATCAGGAACTCCACCTCTGTTAGTCATCCTCGCAAGTGCAACTTCATTCTTGCAGTAAGGTCACTTGTAATAGGCAGCCAGAGGAAATGAGCAGGTTCTTTGATTGAGCATTTTCAAGGTTTTCTTATTTCCTCTTGTTGCTGAGGTCTGCCCATTAAAACACGCTCTATAAATAGACTTTAATGAACAATTTTCCTCTGAATGTTGTGAGAGAGAGAAAGCAGAAACTGAGATGGAAGAAAAATTAAGCACGTTAGAATAAGAGGCCGTGGCTCCCTAAATTACTCATCAGTAACGTGACCCACGGCTGCCAGTTGTGAAGGTGATCAGCTCCATATGCTGAGACTCTTAGCACACAAATGCTTATGACTGTTATTATAAGGCCAGCCAAAAGTGGATGGCTTAATCTGTGCAGAGCTCAGAGCGCCGAGACAAAAGTCATTCTTCAAAGACGGTTCATCCATTGACAGATGCAAAAATCAAATGCATATCACCGCCACTCATGACTGTGTGATGACAGTAACTGCTCATGTGTACGCTTACTCACGACAGAGGCATTAGATGAAGACAATGAAGAAAATCTTTTCTTTTATACAAATACACAAAGACGATCTACAAGCACATTAGATGTTAAACAGATGCCGTGGGTGCCAATGGGTCGAGGGGTGTGCCTGGTTAGGAAGGCCCAATTAGCCCCCTCTGGTTGATTTCTACGCCATTCGGCTGCCAAAACGCACAATTTCTTTCTTTATAACAAATAAGCTGTACAGTTTTATATTTGAATTAGTTGTGTATACACACACACACACACCTATTCAAATTTGGGATTGGCAAGATTTTTAAGCTTAAATTCACTGAGGCTGCATTTATTTGATAAAAAACACAGTAAAAACAGACTTTTTGTAATATAATGTTGCAATTAAAAATAAGCTGAATATATTTTAAATGTCATTTATTACTGTGCTGGCAAAGCTGAATTTTCAGAGGTCATTACTCCAGTCTTCAGTGTCATATGATCCTCCAGAAATCATTCTAATAGGCTGATTTGGTGCTAGGTAACATTTCTTTTTATTATCTACTGCATGTTGAAAACAGAGGCACTGCTTAATATTTTTGTAGAAACCATGATACATTTTTACAGGATCCTTTTTTATGAATAGAAATAAAGCATTTATTTGAAATACAAATGTTTTATAACATTTCCTGTCAATTTTGATCAATTTAGTACATCCTTATGATGTATGTGCATGTGTATAATTTGCAGGTCTTTAACTTATGGGGGTCCACCTGTGCCAGCCAAGTAATGGTCATTTAGATTAATGGGAAAGCGATAGATTTCTCATGATATTATAGATCTCCTTGGTGCATAGTACCAACATATTAAGCTTTTTCGAACACACTCTCTGGCATCATAACTTTTTCAAACGTCATTACAATAAGAGTCTGAGGTTCAGATCATTTCAGCAGAACTTAAGCTCTAGCCATCAAGGCAGACCTGAAAAAACAAACACAAAGACCCGGGCAGAGACAGAGCGAGTGTTTGACACTTAAGTCACTTAAACTGGCGTGAAAACAAACAACGATACACACTCTCTTTAACTCGCCGCTCAAATGACCATAAATTACAGAGAACCAAATGGCTGTGTTTGCTGTAGATTTGGCAGGGAGAACGCTGGGGAGGAAAAGACAGCAAAAAGAACAACAGCGAGGTCATTAAAACGCAATTAGCCACAATTATCACAGCTGATTTATGCTACCTGCGAGTATACCAACAGGAAGATAAGTGTTAAACAGGGTAGCATGGTTATTAAACTTCCAATTATAAATGCACACACACAAACACAGTGAGACTCAAAACAAACACCGAGTCTGTGATGTTTCACTCCCTTTATATACTCTGACTGTTATACTGACCTTTCAATGACCTGCTCAGTAAACACTCAATGTTGCTTTAACCCTATTGCATTACAGTTCCATCATTAACAGGTATTATGTTGAAAAAGGAAAATTGGGTCTAATTAAGGTAATAATGGCTGAGGAATGCCAGGGTTTGTTCTGAAAACAGGACAGGCCTGACTTGAATGGAAATAAATAAGAATGACTGGAAGGTAAATGGGAATGGGTGGAGGTAAAAAGGGAATGAACAGGAGAGGGAAGTTGAGGCCTGGGATAAAACGCTGGATACAATCGTTCATGTCTCCTGCAGTATGACCCTGAAGGCTAGAAACAGTCATTTTATATCCAATGGGAAAACATACTCCAAAGCAGGTTTCCAACATCAAGTGATTTTTCCATCCAGGCTGAAACCTTAAAACTGCACAAAGCAACTAAAAATGGCAGCTAATCAGAACCAATGTTATTTTTAATATTATTTAATATGGGGTTTTGGATTAATATGATTCAGCAGTGGTTGAGCTTTTGCGATCGATGATGTTTAGGTCAAAACTTAGACAAAGAAAGTGTTTATAAGTATCAAAGACTGAAATCGATGCGTGTCTCTGTGGTTTCACACACTGGATTATCCATAGGTTGTCTTATAAGTGTTGCCTGTGTACAAGGAAACATCACTTTCAGAAGCCAGATCTTGTTCCTTCACCTACATGAGGAAATGCCTTCGAAAGACCAGCAAACCTTACTACACAAAGAACACAGTGTGTGCACTCGAGCACCTCCTGTGCACTCTGTAACAGGATATAGACAGAAACATGGACATTTGGGAAAATCAGAGCACACTATGCAGAGGAAGGAATGAAAGATTAGAAAAACAGCAAAAGGTGAGGAGAGAGGCCTGAACTCCACACTTACATAATGACCAGTGACAAACTCTAACCCTAATAAATCTGCATTTCAAATATTCTTTAAATGAATCATTTGTCTATTAATAAATGTATTAATTATCAAATTATTTTAAATAAATAAATAAAATGTTTATTCTGTTGACAAGGCTGTAGGAATGTATGAAGGAAACTTGTATGATCAGCCTAAAACTTTGTCTGGCCAACATTAGTCTATTACTGATCTCAGCAGGTAACGTGGGAGATGAGTGACACATTAGCTCTCAGGCCAACATTACCCTCTGATAGTGCATGTCAGTGTCTGTCGTCAACATCTCACTGGA